TAGAGCCTTTATATAAATGTCCAAATGGACATCAGAGAGATTACTTTTCCCTCTCTCTAATGCTGCCCATGACTCCCTTCCCATGGAATTTGAAGAACACAGACCTGAAGTCGGGGATCTCTTCCCAGCTCTTCTGACGACTTGCTTTTGCACCTTCCAGATACTTGCCTTGTGTGTGCTTTAGATCCCCATATATTAGTGAGGAGAGGGATGAATGCAAATAACTTAAATCTAGGTAAAAAATACATTTATTGGAAGGCTAAATGGTCATTTCATAGAACCCAAAGTAAAATGCGGTAAGAACTGAGGAACTAAAACCAGGAAATTAAACGATTGGGAACTAAGGTATTTACTTTCCGCTTTTCTCTCCCTGTAGCCAAATGTCTGATCCTTGCTTCTTTTCTGTTTGATCTTTCTTCTCTCTCCCTCCATCTTGGCTCCACTAGTCAGTTTAGAAGCACATGGCCCAAACATGGGCATGCTTACTCAGATATCCTTATAAACCCCATACCCACAATGAAATGAACACACCTCTCCAACACCAATTCAAATTCCTGGGAGAGAAAATGGCCTAACTTAGGTCGTGTTTCTCCCTTTGGTCCCACCTATCGTAAGCAACGAACAGGAGGAAATAGAGTTACGCGGAACAGAGTATATTCAGCAGGGACTGAGGGAAGGCTCTCTGAGCCAGTTTTTTGCTAAAAAAGTAATATGGGTTGCAAAGAAATTGATTGGTGAAGGAAAAGTTTTGCACCTTTAGGATTCTTCTCCAGAACATTTAAAGATCTGTAAGTATAGGGGCGCCTGGGTGGCGCAGTCGGTTAAGCGTCCAACTTCAGCTCAGGTCACGATCTCGCGGTCCGTGAGTTCGAGCCCCGCGTCAGGCTCTGGGCTGATGGCTCGGAGCCTGGAGCCTGTTTCCGATTCTGTGTCTCCCTCTCTCTCTGCCCCTCCCCCGTTCATGCTCTGTCTCTCTGTCTCAAAATAAATAAACGTTAAAAAAATAATAAAAATAAAGATCTGTAAGTATAAATGGAGATTATGTGCAACATCGATTTCAAGATATATTTAAGTGTTTTAAATGCTGTATGTAGGTATCAATAATTTATTCGCTGGCTTGTTTGAGCTCCTCCCTGTACTTAATTTTTATTTTATTTTTACTTTTATTCAAGTAAAATTAACATACAGTGCTTTACTAATTTCAGGTGCACAATATAGTGATTCAACAGTTCTATACATTACTCAGCGCTCATCACGGATGAGTGTACTTTTAATCCCCTGCACCTATTTCACCCATCCTTCCACCTACCTCCCCTCTGGTAACCATCAGCCTTTCCTCAATAGTTAAGTGTCTATGTCTTCATTTGTCTCTTTTTTATTTTTTTTGTTTGTCTTGATTTTAAAGTTCCACATATGAGTGAAATCATATGATATTTATCTATCTCTGACTGATTTCACTTAACATTATACCCACTAGAGCCAGTCATGTTGCTGTGAATGACAAGATTTCATTCTTTTCATGACTGAGTAATCTTCCATTGAGTATATAAACCACCTCTTCTTTATCCATTAATCTACCAATGAACACTTGGGTGGCTTCCATAATTTCGCTGTTATAAATAATGCTGCAAAAAACACAGGGGTGCATATATTTTTTTGAATCAGTGTTTTCATACTCTTTGGGTAAATACCCAGTAGTAAGTACAATACTAGATCACATGATAATTCTATTTTTAATTTTATTTATTTATTTATTTATTTATTTAAAAAAATTTTTTTTCAACGTTTATTTATTTTTGAGACAGAGAGAGACAGAGCATGAATGGGGGAGGGGCAGAGAGAGAGGGAGACACAGAATCGGAAACAGGCCCCAGGCTCTGAGCCATCAGCCCAGAGCCTGATGCGGGGCTCGAACTCACGGACCGCGAGATCGTGACCTGGCTGAAGTCGGACGCTTAACCGACTGCGCCACCCAGGCGCCCCTCTATTTTTAATTTGTTGAGGAAACTCCATGCTGTTTTCCACAGTGGGGTCACCAGTTTGCATTTTACCAACAGTGCACAACTTATTGTTTCTTATGTTTCTGATTTTACCCATTCTGATTTAAAAATTATCTGAGGGTTATAAAGCTATTTAAAATAATCAAAGATGAAAATGTTGGTGGAAAGCTTTATATTTGTTTTTGTGTTGTTTTGTTTTTAATGCTGAAACAGATTTTTAATGGTATTATGGAGAGCTTTATATTTGAACTCAGATTTAACAGAACTTCATTCTAGTAGCTGGCATGTTGCACAGCTCTCATTATCCAAAAATGGGAAGCTTAGAAATTTGTTAAGTATATTTATATTTTTAATCTGGCCTTGAGATTAGAGGGAAATTTTTATGTGGATGTTTTCATACAGGACAAAATGAGTGATGTATCTGAAAATATTTTTACAATAATTAGAGATGGTTTATGTGAAAACTGAAGGTACAATATGAGCTCAAGCACAGCATGTTCTGTATTTGTGGTTTTATGGATATCTGGCATAATGTAGGAATAAAGTTTGGAGACTTTAAGGGTACAGTGCTGTTATAACGATCAGATATTTAGGTCATGTATTGACCACAAGTGGAGTCAGTGATTTGAGATGGACGTTTCTGGTAAGAAGCTACCGCAGGTAAACTAGAGATTCATGTTGGTTGTGTAGAAGGCAGAGATGATATTCTGATGTGGAAATTTTAGACCTGTTTTCTTATCTCTATAGAGAGGTATTCCATCTCTTCAGGAAGGTGGACCAGAAGAATTCCTGCAACCACATAGTATTTCCCCCAGTTGCAGTTTCGAGCCTTATAAGTGGTTAAAAAAAAAGAGGCACAATGTTTACATCTAAGTAATATCGAAATGCCTATATCTACCATAGCAGAAAGTTAATAGGGCTCTTGCAACACATTGATTTCCTGCTCTGTGTAGAACTGCAGAATTGCAAAGGCGTCCTCTAAATTATTACTGTGTTAACATTTGAACAACAGATGGTTTTCTATATAGCTACCATAGTGAATCTGTTAAAAACCACCACCACCACCACCACGATAATTATGGCATAATTTGATACTAGATGTTTTTCCAGACAAGAGTTAACATAAACATCTCACATTAATTAATCACTTTCTAAGTCCTTTACCTAAGTGAAAAACTTTATACAGACTATATAATTAGATTCTTACAGCAACAAGATTATTTTGTTACTCCGTTTTACAGAGGAGGTGAATAAAAACTTGCCTAATGTCTTACAAATTATAATTACAGGCCAGATACTTTAACTCTGGAGCCTAAATTCTCAGTCACTTAACTGTTTTACTTCCTGTGTCACCTACCTTTTGGATGGTTCTGGGACATGAAATTTCAAATACTGGTAACATTTTTATTTTCCTATTTGCTATAGCTGAAGAATGCATGAAAAACTGGTCTATTTAATGCTAAATAGATTAGGTACATATTAAAATGTGGTGTGTGTATGTGGAGGTGGTGGGGATGCGTTGTGGAATGTTTGGGGCAGGACATAGAGGAGGAAGACGCAGAAACTACAATTTATCCTTGTATTACTTTCTCTTAAAATAGAAATTAACTCTGGGGCGCCTGGGTGGCGCAGTCGGTTGAGCGTCCGACTTCAGCCAGGTCACGATCTCGCGGTCCGTGAGTTCGAGCCCCGCGTCGGGCTCTGGGCTGATGGCTCGGAGCCTGGAGCCTGTTTCAGATTCTGTGTCTCCCTCTCTCTGTGACCCTCCCCCGTTCATGCTCTGTCTCTCTCTGTCTCAAAAATAAATAAACGTTAAAATAGAAATTAACTCTAAAAATTAATCTTAAAATATATGAATATCTATGAAATTGAGGGTGCCTATCAGTGAAAATCTGTTGCTTTTTGGAATTTATTTATTTATGTATTGATTTATGTATGTATGTATTTATTTTATTTTTTGTATTATCAACAGGCTGTGAAGAGAAGTATTTGTATTACTGCACAGGGAAGCAAAGAGTATAATAATTATGAAGGTGGACCCCTGAAATCAGATTTCCTAGGGTCAAATCTTGGTTCTGCCAATATCTTAGCCCCTCTAAACCTTGGTTTCATCTTTTCTTCCCAGATCAAAGATGATGAAGAGTAAAAGAAGTAATGCACATGAGGGATTTATCACAGCATCAGTCATGTTTAGCTTTTATCATAGTGAGGAATTTTGATTTAATATCGGGAAGTTATTTCTGGTGACTTTTAAAAAGTCAACTTGTTAGGAAGGGTGGTTTTGGAGTCATTTTTGCAGGGTTTATTTAAAATCCAAATGCACTCCATAGTCTGAAATGACTGATGTGTGATTTTACCTGGACTTGGATGCGTATATCAGATGAGCTTCTGAGGTCGTCTTTAACTCTTGGGTCTGTTTCTCTTTTTCAAGTTACCTCTTTCATCCATTTTTGTTGTTTTCTCTTCAAAATATGATTGTGTAGGGGCACCTGGGTGGCTCAGTTGGATAATCGTCTGACTCTTGATTTTTGCTCTGGACATGATCTCACTCACAGGTGGGATTCAGCCGCATGCTGGGCTCTTTGCTAATAGAAGATCCTTTCTCTCCTCTCTTGAGATTCTTTCTCTCCTCTCTCTCTGCCCCTCCCCCTACTTGCACTCTCTCTCAAAATAAATAAACATTAAAAAAATTTGATTGTGTAATTCATTCCACTTCTATTAGCTAAAAAGAATATTTATTAATGCACATTCTCATAGACTTCTTTTGACCAGTTTCAGTTTGGGCTACACAAAATAGTCAAGCAAAAAAAGAAACACGGTCCTTTTTAAACAAAATAGTATATTCAAATAATTTTAAATAAATTTAAATAAAATTTAAATTATAAATAATAGGAAATTGTAAAAAAAAAAAAAGCTAGGTAAAAAATGACTGGCCATTGCATTTCATTATTCTCTTGTATCTTTATTCACTCACTAACTCATGCATTCATTTACTCCTAGACACAATGATCACAAATTTACCCAGTGACCACTGCATGCTATCCTCGCTGCCAGGGAGGATGAAGATCTACACAGCCCATGATTCTTACCCTGGGGGAGCTTGGACAAACTTTGAACATGAAACCATCATGACAATACAAAGGTAAATAAAAATTTGAAAATAATGGAGATGTTTTAAGATAGCATATGATATTTTTCATTTTTCTGTCATATGAACAAACATAAGAATAACCACAAATCATTTCGCTCAGCCAGACTTAGGTCAACTCCCCTCTTGCTTCGTAAACACATGGAACTCTTTATGACACAGATTTAATTTGATAAAATAATTCATAAAAGACCTAATCCTGCTTCTCTCAAACTAAAGTCATTATACATAAGCTGTTAGGATGAATTAATTAGGGGCAAAGGCCAGAATACTAGTTAAAATCAAAAGTGGAAACACATATGTAGAGACTATATGAACTCTGATTTGAAGCTTATTAAGGTTTTCTCTCCTATGAGTGGTCACACTGGGTAATTTTTGATAAAACTTGTTATCTCCATGAAATATGAGAAAATAAAAAGTCATAAATGCATAGGAACATAAAATTGTTAATTTTTAAAATTCATTCACTGGGGCGCCTGGGTGGCGCAGTCGGTTAAGCGTCCGACTTCAGCCAGGTCACGATCTCGCGGTCCGTGAGTTCGAGTCCCGCGTCAGGCTCTGGGCTGATGGCTCGGAGCCTGGAGCCTGTTTCCGATTCTGTGTCTCCCTCTCTCTCTGCCCCTCCCCCGTTCATGCTCTGTCTCTCTCTGTCCCAAAAATAAATAAACGTTGAAAAAAAAAATTAAAAAAAAAAAAATTCATTCACTAGGCTAAATGCATGCTACCATAGGCTAAGTCTGGTGTCAGGTACTACTAAAAAATATAAAGGTGATATATTCCTCATCCTCAAGGAAATAATACTAACGTATACATATACACAAAAAAACAATTATGCGTCTTAAATAGAGCAAGGGAATGATCAACTTTTGGGGAGACTGATACAGTATTTCACAGAGAATGTGATATTATGCTGTAGAATGTGATACACGCTCCTTGACGGAGCGTTTCAGGATTGTATTGTTTTTGTCCATGTTTGAGCCTCATCAGTCCCTCCTTTAATGAGTTAACATGGTCTACGGTGTTTATGTTGTTCATGGGTGGGATCAATACATTAACTTTAGAAATCATTAAATAATAAACATGCATGGTAAAAGTTCAAGGGTTACCAATTTAAAAAAAAAGAGAGAGAGAAAGAACAAATTGTGTATCTTCTAAAAGGAAAAAAAAGTGGAATAAGAAGAAAACAAAGAAAAAAACTTGGTTAATCCTGGAAAGAAAGAACAAAAAGGGAGAGAAAAAGTGGTAACAGAAAGCAAGCAAGAAGATGGTAGAACTTATTTAATCAAAATATACGTATATGGATTAAATTCCACAATTAAAAGACAAAAATTAACAGATAGAACAAAGTGCAAACTTTTGTCATATGATATTGTTAAGAAACATATTTAAAACAAAAATAACTGAAAAGTTGGGATGTAAGAAATGCAAAAAATTTTCTTGGAAATAAGTAAATGAACTAAATCTGATAAGATACATAGAGATGCACGACCTAATGACAAACATTTTAATTTATCAGAAGCATAGCAATTCTAATCATATGCTCTCAAGAGAACATTTTCAAAATGTATTAATTAAAAATTATCAGAAAAGTCTGGGAAAAGTAAAAAGAGGAGTGTTAATAATGTATTGACAAAACAATAAGGAAATAAACATATATCTTTCCTTATGGTTTTCCATGGAAGCAAAAACATTCCTTGACCCAAAGATTTAATACACAATTAAATTTTCATTTATGGGTAAATTCAACAGAAGGACATCTTCAGGCATGGGTGGCATAAAACAACTCACTTTATACATATTAAGCGATGAGTAGATTCAACATCTCAAGGATTGGAGGTTTGCAAAGGTAAAGGACTTAGATGTGAACATTGAAACCAGTTGAATACAGAGGTATGCTTAACTAGTAGTTAAAGAATATTCAAAGCTCTCAATACAAATGGTAAATCTTTGATGGATGAGTAACATCTAACATACAAAAAATTTTAGTTGAAAATTCCAGATTGTATTAGTAAGTATTGTACAGTAAGAATAGTCCTGATTATTAGGGTTCAATCAAAGAAGCAAAGCCAGCAAGAAACAGTCTATCTATCTATCTATCTATCTATCTATCTATCTATCTATCTATCATCTATCTGTCTGTCTGTCTGTCTATATTAAGTGTTTTAACCTCATGCAATTTTTGGAGGTGCTTAAACAGTCTCTGCAACACTTGTCTTCTTGTCTGATGCTGGAGTTTGATGTTATTAGCGCAGGCATTTGGTAAACAAAGATTGATGTAAAGAGAAAGAGCCAGAACAGGCTGGAACAGAAATGCCAAGGAAATGAAACGGGGAAAAGGTTAGAATTATCAAGTGTTCTGGGACAATTGGACATCTATTTGAAGAAAAAAAAAAGAACTTAGACTCATGCCTCACTCCATAAATAAAAAATAACTCATGATGGATTATAGGGCTATATGTAAGAGCTAAAACTTCTAGGATGATCACATAGGAGAAAATCTTTATGGCCCTAGATTAAGTACAAAGTTAGAAATGACCAAAAGCAGACAAAAAAATTATAAATTATATATCATAAAAATTAAAAATTTTTGTGCTTCCAGAAACACTCCAGATATAGACTGAAGAAAATATTTTCAAATTATGTATGTGATAAAGGACTTGCATCTGAAATATATAAATAACTCTTACCACTTGATCATAGTAAGACAAACAACCTAACTTAAAAAATGAGCAAAAGACTTGAACAGACCCTTCATCATTGTATTTCAAATGCCCATCAACTCACGAATGTATAAACAAAATGTAATATATCCATATAATTAAAAAAAACACAAAATACTGTTGTGTATTCTACAACATACATGAACTTCAAAACCACTGTGCTAGATGAAAAATGTCAGATCCAAATGACTATATAATGTGTGATGCCATTTATATGACATATTCAGAAAATGCCCATTTAGAAATATTGTAAGACTGGACCATGCTGATAGATGCACAATCCTGTAAATTTACTGAAAATGAATCATAGCTTGTAATTGGTGAATTTTGTCGAATACAACTTATACTTCAGTAGAGCTGGGGTTTTTTTTTTTTAAAAGAACAGCCTGGAGTGCACAAACATGAAGTAGGGCCACAAGGATGGACTTAAATGTGTTAGTTTTGTGCCTCTGAACTTGATGGTGTGGGTGTCCTACAGAAATCAGGGCCTGTCATCACAGATCTAAACACACATACCTTGCTACATTTGTTCTTTGTTTTGAGCAGCACTACAATGAAATATATTTAGGAGAATCTTTAAACACTACAGCCAGAAGATTTCCAAGAAACTTAAGAGTTAAAAACCAAATAAAATATAGTCCATTAGCAAAACAGAATGCAAAGAAAATATCAAGGAAAACAGAAAATGTCTTAAACAGGGAAAAATTCTTATGATATAATTTTAAATATAAAGATATATTAATATCTTATAAAATATATCAGAATATGGTTTTTGTTGAAATTTCTATGACAGGATTATGAGTTTTATTTCTTCATTACACTTTCATTTCATACATTTAAAATTTTTTTAAAAGTGAGGTATAATTGACATATAACATTATATTAGTTTCAGTATAATGATTTGATATTTGTATATGTTGTAAAATGATCACTGCAATAAGTCTGATATATATCACCACACATGGTAACAAGTTTTTTCTTTATACATTTTTATAATAAGCAAATAATATCAGGAAGATGATATTTTATGATTTCATAAAATACCTGGTCTTTAACTCCAACCAAATAATTAGATTAAGAGTGTTGATTAAATAAGAAAATTATATTTTGCTTAAATGTTAATACTTTCCTTACAATACGAAAACAATAAGTGACAAATACAATTAATATAGAGATGTACAATTGAATACTTGTATTTTTAGTTAGTTGTGGCATAACCACTCTAGCCCTTCCCAAGAAGTGAAATACATTTGATAGATCATAACAGCATTGTTTGTGGGCACATGATCAATGGAGAATACAAGTCAAACAAAACTTTCTAAGTAGTCCTGCTTTTTTTCCCTTTTTCCAAAAATACATTTTGTAATAGTTTATTTCTACTTCAATGGAACATAAGAATCACATCTTCAAAAAAAAGAGAAGAAATATGTTAAATGGTTGAGAAAGCAATTATGTTACACGAAGAGAATTGAATTCTCAACAGATTTTTGAGCGTCTTTTAGGGTTGGCCTTTTATAATCAGTTTTTGAGGATATTTTCAGGAAGATGGATGTGAGGCCTTGCTTTGGTGCTACAGGGCTAATGCAACTCTCTACGCTCTGGGGTGAGGGGCTGGGTGAATCCAGGAGTCAAGCAGGAAGATATTGGTTGCTCATGGGCTGATTGATCTTTTCCTACCCATCTCTGCCCCTTAAGGAACAGAAGGGAGTAACGTGTCTTAACTATTCTCAGAATCTCTTTGCAGAATGCCCAGATACTACAATTTCTCAGGCCTCTAGACAGATGCTGTGTCACACTGCTGAGGAGCATGGTGTTGAACTTCCTGCTACCTAAGGCATAATCAGCATGTCAGCAGCTTTAATTTTCTGTTTTCCTTCTGAACATTTGGCATAAACATGAGAATAAACCACAATGTCACTTTGTACAGCAACAATGACCTCACTCTCAACTTGTGTGTATAATCATGCAAATGTAACTCTTACAATACACATATTTTAAAAACCCAAATGAGTCTCATGTGATCTGGTCCTGCTTCCCATGAAGCAAGTCATTGAAGATGTGTGCTTAGGGACACATGGGAGAATGTGTTTTTCCAAGTCCTTAAGAGTTGAGTCAAAGTATTCTTAATTAGATGAACAAAATAAAAACATTAGATATAGCATTGAGTGGTAAGTCTATGTGAGCATATGATAATCTTCTTTTGATAAATGTCCCCCTTTGGGCCTCAACAGTGTCTCCGAGCAGTTTTGTCCCTTGTGTGGCATCTCATACAGA